GCTTCACCTATAGTACCCTCAAATTTTAAAGAATTGTTTTCAAAATATCAAAGCTTCGACTCGAGCCAGATGGACAGAGGTTTCTTCAATTTGGAGAAAATCCTACGCACGGTTTAGGCGCTAGTAGGGTTCGTAAACGGACGTTTTGAAAAGAACGGATTTTTTTGGTATATAGGGACCCCAAAACGTGTATTTCCGTTGAAATATCGAAATCTATTTTCTGCAGTATTACATCACTTTCCATATACTACGTATATACGTACGTACACGGGAAAGTAAAAGAGTCCACAATAGCATATCGTAAACAGCGTCGCGGGTAAACAAATTCGTAATCGTACCGAGTGGTCGTGTGTAATCAAGTTTACAAAGAAAATGTAGTTTCCTTCCACGTAAGTGCTAATTTAAATTTTAGAGTTTGAATACAAGCGTTAATCAATTTTATTAATATTTTTTCCAACAATTACTTTCAATCTGTGATTTTTCACTTTTTTCTGCGTTTTTACACCCGCACTTCAGCCAAAATACATGCCTTTTTTGCATGCCTATTTTAGTAAAAATAATTGCATTTTTACCAACCTATTTGAGTGTAAATAAATGCCTGAACTTCCGGGGTCTAATTATAAGAAACGTCAAGATCCCTCTTCTCCGTGAACCATAGAAATACAGGCTTAGGAAATTTCGGGAGAGGTTGACCCCCATGTTGGTAACTATAAATGGCACTTTAACACCTAATTTACATATGATAGACATCCAGTCGTTCGGAGTAAATGTATCTACTTCGGCAGGTATGCTTCTCTTCCTTTCCAAACTATCGATTACAGGGTAGTCTATTTGTAGGAACCAATGCGTGACAGACTCGAATCTTCCACTTTCTACGAATGCCCTCGAGGGTAACGATAGGTCAATTTTTATTTTGTTCCTTGCAGGAATTAATTAAAATGTGAAGACGGTTTGCATTTAAATTTGAGATCTGCCAGTATTTTATTAAACAGCTACCTGCCTCGTCGGCTCCTAGCTTTGATACCACTCACTTTTTTCCATCTCCGACATCTGCCAATTGTCAGAAATCCATCCTCTCTGTCAAGTCGGTTTCTTCTTCAAGTACGCTATTGTTTAAAACACTTCCTATCGCTTTTGCCTCATTCGTTGTTTGCGACTATCTCTCAGGGGAGAAAACAGAAAGAAATGGATAACTCCCCTGCTTTGTAATTCCACATCCAACCATCAAATGGCAGTCAACTACGTCTCATTAGCGATCTCTACTGATCTCAACGGCAATACCTCAAATTTCATGGAAGTGTGGCTTGTGACTATTTCTGACGCAACGCCTCCTAAAAAAAAAAACTATTATTAATTTTATCCAAATCTGAGCACTCCCGTTCTGGCAGGGGCAAGGCAATCTCCCGGTGATTAATGCACAGATGGACGACGGGTTGCATACAGTGCGGAGAACAGGCGTTTTGTTTGAAAGATTGTTAAATTTCATACATGTCGCATTTCGGTTGTTTGTGTTTCAAAGCAAGCCGGAAAGTAGGACTTCACGGTAAAGTGTACCGCAATGAAATCTCATTCCCACTTATGAACTTGTATTTTTGATACCAACGCTGCTGTTTTTTTGTTTTATAAATACGTGGCCAGCACCGATGATACAGTTGATTAGATTTAGATTTTAGATTTATTACTAATTCTGCAATTAAGGTTGAGAACTTGGTGGCAGAATACACTAACTTAACATTATAGAACTTAGCAATCTTAAAGAATTTACAAACTTTACAAATTAACGTGAACATGTCAACCTGCAACCTGTTTCATAGCACTCCACCTCACCACACTTCAACGCAATGAGGATCACTGAGCTGTAATGTCTTTCTTACCCACTTGTTTCCCTCAACTTCACAACGCCACTGTACTGCACATAATAATAATAATAATAATAATAATAATAATAATAATAATAATAATAATAATAATAATACTTAATTACATAGTATACATAGTTACTTGCACTGGATAATATTAATGATATTTATAATACACATATCAACATTCAGGAAACTAATTAAGTTTTTAATTTTCTCAGGTTTTGAGGAAAGGGATCGAAGATTGTCAGAGGCAAACCGTTTCAATCTCTAATAATTCGATTCGCGAATGAATATTTCCCACCGTCCGTTTTCCGAATTTTGTGCCTGTGATCCGCTCTGCCAAAATATGTAGGTTTCCCTAATCGACTTTGAATTTGTTTCCACGCTCGAAGGCCTGTGTACGCTTTATATATAGCATAGAGACGCGACTTCAATCTCCTTTCGAGTGACTCCCATACCCTTTTACTCTTTGGTACCCCTGAAAGTAAAAGTTGATGCTGTGCGCTGGACCTTTTCTAGATTCCTTTTCTACAAAATTCTGTATGGGTTCCAACATATCGAGCCATAATCTAATATGGATCGGACTAATGACATATATGCTGGTCCCTTGGCTCTCACTGCACTGTTTTTCAGAATCCGCAAAACAAAATGTAAAGATTTCCAGGCTTGCCCTACAATGAAATTGACTTGATTTTCCCAGCTCAATTTACTATCTAGCTATATTCCTGAATATTTGCAAACCGTGACTCAATGTATAACATTGTTCTATTTGTACCCAGAATCATTGTAACTTCAACCCCTACCAAACTTGGACTTGCTCTTTGAACTGTTTATTTCCATGCCGTTTGATTCCGCCCAGATGTGTAATTTGTCTAAGTCTCGCTGCAAAATATCCCCTTCCTTCTGCGAGTTGATAATCCTATAAATTACGCAATCATCTGCAAAGAGTCGTACGTTTGAAGCTAAATTAGTCGGCAATTCATTCACGAAGGCCAGAAACATGAGTGGTTCGATGACACTTGGGTAATTCTTGCTTGACGTGACGTTTCCGTGATAAGTGACTTTCGATTCGGACCTTTGTTTCCTGTTACGTAGTAGTTCATTTGTCCACTCTATCACTGTAGTGCCTATACCCGAATATATTAATTTCTTTACAAGACGATCGTGTGGAACAACAAAAGCTTCGGCAAACTCCATTACTATCGCATTGACGCTTTTCCCTTCAACTACATCGGCTAGGTTCTGAAGAAGTGACTAGCTGACTTTCGCACGAGAAACCATTCCTGAAACCGTGATGACCCTGATAAAGCCACTCCCTGCCCTCCCATTCCGTCCTGATATAGCTAGAAATTAGATGTTCCATAAGTTTGTATACGACTGATGCATACGGCTTACCGGTCTATAGTAAGTCTGAGAAGAAAGCCAACATCATCATTAACCATATTACTATTATTTTTATTATTCCAAGAACAATTTTTTTCATATTTTTTTGATACCTTTCTTCTGATTTCTGAGGTATTAATTCAATTGCTTCATTCAATTTACCAAATATCGCTTTTGCAAGCATCTTTTGATTCATGAAAACCCCTATCCTGACAATGTTAAATGTGTAAGTCCTTTTCTCAGAATCTATTAAATCTAGGCTTTTGAAATTCATACAGATTGCAGTTAGGTCACTCATAATTACACTGAAACAATGGTTTTGAAAAATGTTTACTATTTTTGTAGATAAAATTATATTCTCATAATGCAATTTTTGTACCAAGTTTTCTAGTAAATAAAGTTGCACAGAATGGATAATACTAAGGTATTCAGAAAAAAACTTGCTTCGGTAAATGTAGGAGACCTTTATCAACAACTCAAAATTTCAGTTTCCTACCCCAAATGTAAGCTGAGAAAAGTTAATTTAGTATCAAAAATATCAACTTTCGGGAAATGGGCTTTCAAGATGCAACTCTCAGAACACACTAATTGATAACTTGCCTCATCAGAGTAATTATTTTCCTTTAACTACTTTCTTTTTTGACACATTTTTTATGTTTGTTAGCTTCACAATATCAGAGTTTTCAGTTTTCTTTCTGCATGACTTAGTCTTTCAGTACTTATGTGCTGCCATCATGTAACAGTATCTAAAAGTATTGGAGCTAGCACCTAAGCCCAATCAAAGGAGAATTTCACTTACAAATAATAAAAAATAAAACTTGTAAGAATGATATCAACATATTTCAAACACCAATTTAAAGAGAAAATTATGGAGTTTTACGAACAATAATATAACAAGAAAAACAACTTTTTTTTAACGGCAAAAAAGATTCCATTTCCCACAAGAACACAACAGTTCAAAGCACTTCAATGGTATTATTTGCATCAAGACTGCAGCGGGCTCTTGCGCTTTGGGCAATTGTTTATTGGGACCCATACAACATGAAATATTGCAATATGAAATTAAAATAAATGGAAGAAAAAGCAACATAGTATGAAATAAAACAACGTGTGCATGTGCAAGGTACGAGAAAACTAAGACACTTTCAAGTTTCTAAAAAAATAGCACCAATTTTTTTCTCAGTTACAGCAAAATAACTAATTACAAATTGTGTAGGTCATTTGATCTTCATTCTTGAAATTTTTAAAAATTAAAAAGTTGAAGTTTTTTTCCAGCGACTTCTTACAACTACAAATATTTCTTTAATTAATGAAATATATTTTTTGCTCAAAATTCCTTAAATAAGGGTATGTACAATTTTTTCATAATCAGTAGTTTTCACAAAATTGTGTGTGAAATAAAGACACTTTTGATAACAAGATTTTCTCAGAAACGCCTTCTAAAGGTTTCTTAAACATTTTGAATGGATAAAGCTAAATGCACTAAATAACTTAACATTATTTTATTGTAATCTTTTAATTTTTCAAAAATTACACAAATCTATATTCAAATGGTATTATATTATGTAACTGTTACAAATACTGCGAGAAACTATTTGCTGTTGTAGCACCAATAGTTCTTTTTTAAATCTGTTAAATTTGGGGAAGTGGAATTTTAGTAATAGTTTATGTACTAATGATATATTCAGTATATATTATATATATANTATATATATATATATATGTATCTGGTAAAATTTTAAATATTTAGTAAAAGTCTGTAACTAATGTAACATTTTTAGTAGGCAAAGTGAAGAATCAAAAGAAAATTTGAGTTATTTTTATATTTACTTTCCTAAAGTTATAAAAATACATCATGTACCTCATATACAAAACCCACCTAGAAACTACAAAAACTTACTAACTTTCCCCATCACCTAAAATAAATTTGACTAGATTTTAGAATTTGTGAAATACTGTTGAAACCAGAAAGTTATAAACATTTTGACCACAAAACTTAGTCACAATGTACAAATTAAGAATTAATCATGTTTAAACTTCAGTGTGTTACCTTTTATATCTTTTCAACTCCAATAAGGCCAGTTACAATGTTTATTTCAGAAAATTGAAAAGTAAAGTGTACAACACGTTGCACTAATGCTCCTATACATATTATGATAGAAAAAAGGGGAAAATTTCACATTAGAATCCAAGTTTTAAACCACATATGTAAGTAAATTAATCCTGGAAAAGAAACTTGAGATATTAATGCACATATTTTTTTGCATTCAGCGAGTCACCAGGAAAAACTAATAATCATCATACTTTAACTTTCTCTCGGAGTGCAACCTGCTGCCATACAACTTCACGACATCACAGAAGTAGTTCTGGTAAGTAGCAAAATAGCGTGGTTAAAAAAATAAAATTAAAAAATTAAAGAAAATATAGTAGGAGAAGAGGTAGGAATATGAGATATGGTAGAAATATGACATAGCAAGGTTTTCGCCTCTGCATAGTGTTAACATTTGTCAAGTTCCTAAGAACTACATTGTCTAGCACATCATTGCATTCCCTTAGCGGCCTTCATCAGTCTTCAAAGTTTCCCAAAGTGAACATTTGCAGTTAGTAGTGCTGTGAAAGTTTTTGTAGCTATGCACTGAGGTGCAATTTCCTTCGGCGTATCTTTTGATTTTACTACAAATCTAGGAGGTAAGTTGATGTTCAAATATTGCGGTTTTTTATTATAACTGAGGATTTAAATTAAAATGCAATGTTCAATACAATATGTTGGAAAAGTGTAAGATGGTGTGGTGGTTGTAATACGAGACAAATGATTGGTAGCATTATGAGACTGTCTTGTATTACTACTAGACTGTTTTAATGACTAAATTTTCTAAAGCTTGTATGGGTGACATCAATGTACCTTGGGCAGAATGCAGGTTCACAATGATTGTGCCGGTCCAGAGAGAGCAGTCTAATTTCTGATTATTGTAAAACCAAGTTATTTATAAACATATATTTATTGTACATAGTGTACGACAATAAAACCATTATGTAACTTTTTGAAACTCCAGCTCTACAAAACAGAACTGTCTCATATTACTACCAAAGTTTTCAATTCACTGGTAGAAACACTATTTACAAAAAATAAATATTACATAAAACCTATTAGTTCCACAATGTTTAGGTTAATGCAGCAAATTTTATATTAAACATAGTAAGAAACCACAATTCCCTTTTTTAGTTACAGTTATTCTGGCACCTTGTAGGTCCCAAAACAAAAAGGTATGTTATTTTTCTACCTCTTCTACTACAGTAAATAAGCAAATATAAATATTCTTCTTTATTCGGTATTTAATTTTTATTTGTCATATCTTTCATTATGTTAGATAGTAAATATGTCAGCAAATATGTCATTTAAAAAAAATTAAAAACAACAGAAGTGCACAATTCTATTTTATATCAGCAATATTTAATTGGACATGCTAATTGAAGGCAAGTCAGACATTTTCTCCGTTTATTTCTGGGTCATTTTCACTATACCTCCAAATAACGGTGTGGCAGTTATTCTGTGTATTTTTTTTATTATTCTGACTATCATTTTCTTCATTCACATGAGACTAGAATAAATTCACTTAAGATTATTAACACAAAGTATAATCTCATCTCAGCAATAAGTAAGAGATTAAGATTATGTCTATTGTCACAAAAAAAGGTTATTTGTCTTTCTTTGAAAAATACATTCCTGCTTTGACTACTGATCTTAAATGAAACAATTGTATGTGTTATCCAAAATAAATTCATGTAATATCTACCACTTCATTTCTCTCATGGTAAAGAAGACAAAAACAAGTGCTAGCCAAAATATAACCCCCAATAACTATTTATTTTTGAAATGATCTCTCTCTTTTTAAGTGTTTCAAAGAATTGAATTTCCATTTACTTTCTCAATTTTTTGCAGTTGATTAAAAGGTTAAAGACTTTAGCATATTATAAATGGAAAAAACATGTTAAATACCTTCCATTCTTCTTGGCTTTGGTCTACATTACCATACCTCATTACATTACATCATATCTAAGTAACATTTATTTTTTTGTCATGCAGCATCAACTTGCAACAGCCAGAAAGCTTCTCCAAATGTACGAAAACAAGGAGGAATTAATGCAAATACTCTTCATCCAAATCACATGCAATCACACAGAACACCAAAGCCTCTGAGTGTGCGCACTACATACAGAAACGAAAGAAACATAGAGAAAACGAAGTCAAAACATCAACGAAGTTGCTCCGAATGTTCCTCGTGTTCCCGACAACACAGCTGCTCAAAAAGGAACAGAAGTGGTAGCTGGAGCTCCTCAGCTTCATCACGGGCAGGCCAGGGGGGTTCCGGAGACAGAAAGCATAACAGAAGACCACCGAAGTATGAACCGCAGAAACACAAAGGTATGAAAATGGTCAATAAACACTGTATCTAGCATGTCCATGACATGGTACCAAACTATCGGAATAAGTCAGGTTGTGTTTAACATCTACATTCATATAACACAAATGAGAAAAATAATTTTCTAGGATTTTCCTCAATATTTGTGGATCTTTTTGTTTCCCTTAATAAGCAAACTTAAAAGTGTTATTCATCAAAGCTGATCCCTTTAAAGAGGCTATCCGTCCTTTACTGAATTGTGAAAAGACCTGATTATGATAGGTCTGTTAAGTTAGTGATAAATGTCGTGTAATTAGACCTTTCAGAAAGTTTATTATGTCATGCAATGGATGTTTTATTTGTTTAGAAGTTTTTCTTCAAAAGTGTGAACATATGTAAACATTAACACACATATTTCATCTTTCATTTCAGATGTGAAACGTGGCATGTCAGATCTAGAAGAGCGTATAAAAGCACTTCAGAAGTTGCTTAAGGAAGGTCTTCCTATAAAGTGATAAACAACATTAGAAATAGGACATTGTCAGCAGTGATCCTAGATTATTTATTTTTTATCCTCACTGGAAGAGCTAGGAATCGGTGAACCATACACTTCTCTTTTCCAAGAGAGGACAAAAACACTCAATGTATTTACATATTTTTACTTTAAAAATGAATAACAATACTTCTTACAAATGAAGTAAGACAGACACAGAATGCATAGCAAACAACAGTTTACTGCACACTGAGTACTATCTAGCAACTCCCAGTAGTTCACATAATAACTACATGTGAAGCAGCACCAATCTATGACAAAGTCATTATCAGTCGAGTCAACATTGTGTTAAATTTATCTGGCTATGTACAAGGTTACATCTATTGAACCATTGACCTAATGAATTAGGGAACGTTCAGGCAGATTCAGATTATGACAGAATAAACCCTTGTGTATAAAGTATGTAAAGACGATAAGTAAATGAAAGCTATTCTTATGATAAAAATTGTTCAAAACAAATTATACTGTAAAAAACAGTTAAAAATACACATATGGCTATGTATGTAAAAATGCTGAAGGTAAAATAGTTGAATCTGGAATGCCTGTAACATTCCCATCTACAATTATTGTAGTTTCTATCAAATATGTACATGTGTTATGAATTTGCTAGCGTTTTTGAATTATATCATGTTGTAATTCCTGTACAGCTTGAAGCACAACTCCTGTTTTTCTTGGAGGATGAGCATGTTTAGAATGATCATCAAATATATTTGACCCAACAGCAGATGCAGGGCTAGTTGACAGATCTGGTTGAGGTGATTTTGAAGTTGATGGACGAACCCAGGGTTTGCTTACTACTCTAGTTTCTAATTCAGCAACCATTCGAGTGAGTTCACGAATCTGAGCATCTTGCTTCTCAGTTGTGAAATACAGTTCTTGAATTGTATAGTGTAAAGTGTCCATTTCATCTTTACGAGCTTCCTCCTTTGAATTTTCTTTTCGCACACCTCTACTGTATTCCAAATACAACACTCCTGCAGCAATGACAAAAATTATACCTTCTCCCAGCAAATTTGCTCCCAACTCTATTGCCATAGCTTCATTGAGTGAGGGTACAACTGCTGGTTGTCCAAAATCAAGGATCCACATTTTAGCTTTAACTTCACACCAGTTGTAAACTAGAAAGAAAATAACACCTGATGAATCAATCTGAGTCAAGACTACACAGATGTCACAATTCAAATTTCAAGATTTTTTTAATGTTTCTGCATTTACGGAACGCACATAACCTCGCTAATACTTACATTGTGCAGGCGGCATACAAATATACGTTCGAAAAAAAGGACTTTTCTTGGCTCTTTCCTTCACCGCATTTGCAATAGGTTTACTGACTTGCCTCAAGAGTAAAGTGCCAAGTTTGGCCAAAGGAAAAGCACCAACAACCATAGCTAGATTTAATTAGAACAAATTCGTCATAACTCCACGAGGCGCAACTGAATAATATTGAATGTTAACTCGCTTGATACACTGCACACCAATTTGTTCACTTTCTTTTAATCGTTTGTTATAAATGCATTTACTTCCTCCTCAAGATCCTTCTACCTTTACATCCACTCGAACACCTGCCCTGCTCCGAAAACCAACCCCCACCATTACAACCCCAGTATCTGGTACCAACCTACTCTATCTCTCATGCACACATACATCTGCAGAGTATCAATTTCTCACGGTGTTGGTTAATTGGTAACAGTTTACCTACATGATCGTGTTATTTTCAAAGGCGAAGAACTAATGTATACAAAATGTCTTTTTTGATAAATTACAAGTTTAATATTGAAATTAACATTTAATAAGGGAACCTATGTCAACGATTAACAATCCTTCTATTAAAAGCAACTCGAGCCTTAATTTGCCATAATAACCACATCAATATAAAAAACACGGACCATTTTTTTAAATAAACGCACACTATTTGGCAAAGTCATGAAAACTGCCAGTATGGTAAAAGATATTCAAAATAAAATATGATTAATGTAATAGCATGGAAGTTGCATTCTCAGTACTCTCATTACTCGACCTTGAATTAAAATAAAGCATTTGATATTCGTATTTTTAGCAAGAAGGATTTACTTCCATCGAATACATGAAAAATAGAAACAACTTAACACTTCATACATTGTCACTGAAATTGTGCATGATCTAACATATCCACATGTACTCTCAATTTCGCTCATTTTGTTCTCTTTTAGATCATTGCAAATAATCGTTTTTGCAGATTTTTATTCATTTGCTTTTACATATCTTTGTAATAAAAATACTATTGTATTTAACAGTGGGCTTAGAGTATATCCAATGTAATGTAAATTCATTATAATTATGAATATCTTAATATACTTGACGATGAGCATTGACAAACATTTCAAAATTTCGAAAGCTATATGGTAGTAATACTACATTCACATACTTCCTAGGGCAGATCACGGTAAGATCACTTATAATACTCTCTCAGGATAAGAAGGTCTAAGCATTGGCATCACGACCTTCGACGCGGCGTCACCCGGATCTTACTCGGGCCGCCAAAATTAGTATTTACATTCAAATGCTGAACATGTAAAATCGCGATTTAACGTTCAAAACTCATGTAAACCTTATACTATATGTAAAAATTTTGTGACTGATCAGGAAATTAGATTAAATTCTGTCAAATATTTGAAATCGTATGCTTTTGTGATGTGTTAAATCTGATAGCTGACGCATTAAAACCGATGCGTTCATATTTACTATTTATGCGTATTTTATAAATTATGAGAAAATACTGCTCGAAAAATTATGAAAACAATATTTATTTATTTTAATTTGATAAATAAATGCAATTGATATTGCTGAATAATAAAAAATAAAATAGTGTCTAATGAGTCATTTTCCTAATCGTGTCAAATATGGCGCCTCAAATGTAGGTTTCATCGTATCCGACTCCAGCTAATGAGCTTCAGGCAGCACTTTGCGTCACAATATTAGCGGGAATTTTAAAAGCAGCCAGATGCCGCCGTTTCGAGTCATTGAAACCGCTGCAGTGGCCCCTTTGAGAATGGCGCGGGCTGTCAGAGACGTCCTCCTCAGTCGTATCGTCCTCTCAGTTCGATACATTTGTTATGCCAAGTTTACGCAGTCATTATGAGCCAATCATTCATGAGGTCCTTAGGTTATGACAATTATCGGAACGATATCTTTATTACAAATCATCGACAATTGCGGCATAAACAAGAAAATAGTAATAGTTCAGGCAACGCCAAGTATTAATATTCTCATCAACAAAGTAGTTTTTTAATCAATTAGACAATTTGCAATTTTATTTTAACTAAAAAGTAAGAATTAGTTTTAAAAACGAATCAGGAGGCCTCTTCAAAATTAGGGCGTTGTTCGGTCATCATAGTCGACAAGAATGGATCGGTATGTTCAAGAAGAGCAGCTTCCAAATATATAAATTTTCTTCAATTATCTGCCTGATAATACTCTGAAAGAATGTTCTCTTGACAACGTTCCTGGGAGCTTTTGGATTAAATTCTTGAACGCTGATTTGTGGTGTGAAAATGATGCACAGCCCAACAGAATGTTCACCAAAAAGAGCTGCGAGCACTCTTTTTTATTGTTGTACTTTTTTTAAAAAATATTTAATTTTACTTCCTAATAATTTTTCATGTACTATTCTAAAGGATAAAAAATAGACAACAATGTGTTTAAATTTTCATTTTATTTAGAACATGCATAGTGATCATTTTCAACATGAAAATATTTTTAAAACAGTTTAAAGCATTGGGAATCGGGCATCGGGATCAGCTAGTTTATTGTAACATGATAAGCCATACATTCATCAAAATTAAAATATTAACTTTTATGAACAGCAGGGGCCTTGTGGTGGCAGGTGTGGCTTATCTTATTACTGTCACACATCAGCCTCAGTTTATTTAAGAATGATTTTCAAAACATTTTAAAGTTAACATTGATCAGCTTAATGTACCAGAGGTTCATAGAATGGAAGAGATAAAGGAGAGGAGGAGATGGGTGAAGTTTGTATGAGATAGTAGTTTAAGTTACTACAAGAAATTCTGTGCTAGGTATATAGTCATATTTTATAGAATGGGATATTACTTCCAGGATACTTGAGGTGAGCCTGAACGTTTTTATAAAAAATACATTTAGTTTAGTTTTATTTCATGTAATTAAAAAAAAACTAATAAAAATTATAAAATATAAATGTGATTGTTGGATTGCTTGATTAAATTGACTGTAGAGATCATTAGAGTGAATTTTGAAAGTTTCTAAGTCAATTGTTTTTAAATTTGATTTGATAATGAAATTACTGCAGTGGAGATCCTTACATTTCGTAATTTTATCTCATCCATCTACTAGGACACCACTTATTAACAGTCAAGAAATATTAACAATTAAATGTTCATAAATTCCAAATATATTAGAACAGATGAATGTATTTTTTTTTTAAATTTATTTATTGATTTATTTCTTTTATATCTGTAATCCAGATCTGTAATTGCCATGTATGAAAGATGAGAAAAATAATTCTCGGTAATTGAAAATCTAAAACATTTGGCTAACGAGATAGAAAGAGGCCAATATTACATTAAAAAATATACATAGTAGATCTAAATTAACAGTAGTTTTCAAACATGAATCACAGACAGTCTCAAGACAAATGGAACACATACAGAATAATGTGGAAAAAACTAAAGAAACTCTAGCACGGAAAGAAATATAAACATCTATTAAATCTGTTGTGACATCTACATCTTCTCTAGGTTCAGTCATACTTCTGACAAAGCTTAATGAAGAAAAAACAAAGTTTTAAAAACTAAACATTGGTAATAAAATTAATTGTTGTACTTGTTGCAATTGTTGTACCAGCCCTGAGGAAGACCACGACAGGATGGTCGAAACGTCGGCAACTCAGCCTTCGACGCGGCGTCACCCGGACAGCCCAGATCACCCACATGACTCTGGTCGCGGAAGCCTACGACTTCAAATTACACTATTAATTGACTGCAAGCCAAATGGAAACCTAATGGGCTATATCAACAGAAATGTGTTAGTGTCGTACAAGCCTCAATTCCATAATTATTTTATTCTAGAGTATTATGTTTTCCCTCAAATTAAACTTTAAAAATCAATTGAAGGGCTCACAAAAATATTCTTATAGGTCTCATTTCCCAAATTAGAAGTAAAAGTATTGATACTTTTCAAAAAAATAAAACAATAGAATCAAAATACTATAGACATAGGTTTAAACAGAGGAAAGGGTACTCACAAAACTAATGTGAGACTAGACCTAGAATTACACATATTTTGTTTTCTTCTAGTTCAATATCACAAAGATGTTAGTGATCACTATATCGCCTTGACCACCTCAATTTGTATTGGACTCCCTCATTCAAATTTCACATCTTAACAGTTTGATATGTAATTATAAACATATAATAAAACTTATGAAGGTATACACAATACAACAATAATCTTGTGAATTGGTAATTGACGCAGACCTTATTTTGGAAGAGGAAAATCAAGAAAGAAGTACTTTGATGATATCTGAAAAATATGAAGCACTGAAGAATATACTTCTAGTGCATTTTTGTAAGTTTTTGACAATCCTACTTTTGACATGCTAACTTTGACACTACATTTACATGACACTACATGTTTCAGTATTATTGTACCATTCTTGTGACCTTAAAATACATAAATCATGTATATTTTCCTTTTTATATATAAAAGTTGTCTGAGTTGGAGGAAGGATGGGAATTAACTTGGATTTTGTTACTTATTCTCTTCATAATAATTGTATTTTTATGGGTAGTATTTAAAATTGTATTTCTGAAAATGGCATTTACAAAAACAATGTACATATTTATACAGAACTGCCACTATAGGCAAAATAAAAAAAAATCTCCTCTTTTAAAGCCACTTGTAATAGGATTTACAATACAAAAATGTTCTTAATTTTTATTTTACAAGGATAGCCACAGTAATATGGCACCTGTCACCAGACACATCCAAACAAAAAGTATGTGTGAGAAAGAAGTTTCATTTACAAAACGATAGTTATTTGTGTATTCAAGGCATTAAATAGCTGTTTTTGTCCTGAGGACAACTTCCAAATCTTAGGTTCTCTGGCCTAAGAGGTTGGAAGTTGCCATCAAAGCAAAAACATCAAGTAATGCCCATAGTGCATTCAAACATTATGGTTTACTGGTACCTTACTGAATCAAATTATAACTTCAAAAATCTTTAAATTGATCATGCATCAAATTAACAAAAAGATTGTAATTGTAAGTTGTCAATATGGTGTCTCAAAAGAGGTGTGTAAAATTCGTAGAATCTCCTAGGTTTGAGTTGGTGAGATTCATGTTGATAGAGATTCCAGGTGACAAGGTTCCAGTTAAGAGAGATTTGAGTGGACATGTTTGAGTTAGGTTCAACTTTGGGAGTTTCAAGCCAGTGGGAATTAAGTTAGAAGGTTTGAGTTTTGAATTTAATGAGATTTGAGTTCATATCTCTTATTTAAGCGAAATATCGTGTATTAAATATTTTCCTTTTTTAAGTTCAATAAATAAATTTTATAAAAAAATAGAAATTACTGTTAAATTGATAGAGGGCATAAATAATTTGAAAGGCTCATGAGGATATTAGGAATACTACAATACATTTTGTTTCAGGACCATAAACCTACAGTAATGAACTAGTAAACCATAAACAAAATAACACTTTTTCATTTTTCTTGGATAACCCTTTAAAAATGCCTCAAAGGTTTGAATGACTTAGACATGATATGTCTAAAATTGAAATATTTAAGTCTATGTATCACAAAATTTTGATATATCAATGAAATCACGCCATTTAAAAATATTAATGAAACTTTCTCTCTGTTTCATTTGCCATCAGTAACCATGTAACAATGTAACATCCTTACAAAATATAATTTTTATTAAGGTACCTTGTTTCAAATTTCTTCTGTCAAACATTTTATCTAATTTATTTTTCACAAAAGGCCACAAGTAGAAACTACTTGCTAGTAGATTTGCAAACACATTATCTTCCATGGTATTTATCTTCACTGTCAAGGTGACACCATATCCTTGTGTGCAAGACCAATCCTTCAAGCAACATTCTTTGGGTCTGTTTTGAAGCATAATATGAAATGCAGATATGATGGTCTTGACTCTATGATGACCAAGGATAGTATGTTCCTTTGTAAGAGAAGAAATGGGCTCTAGCCATGGAATACTTTAACTACAATTTTTCAATGTATTTACGCAAAGTTATGCATCTTTTGTTAAAGTCTTGTTATGCATTTATCAACATAAATATCAATGTTTTCAATTTATTACCTTAATCATGTCATTGTCATTTATGCTAATTACAATCTAAATTATAAATTAAGAAATGTAACTTTATAAATTATGTACAGAATATTCTCTGATAATTTTTTTAGAGCCATTCTTTCACACTCGTATTTTTCACTCTCAGTGATTGATGGAATTTTAAGAATTATCAAAGTATTGTATTGTTAAGGCTGAGTCATGAGAACATTAGTTAACTTCATGGTATTCACATACATATAAAATTAATGTAGAGAAAATTATTGTTAATTTGATTGATTTCAATTTCTTTGCAAGTGTTCAAAGTATTTACTTTAAAGGCATACATTTCTTCTTAAGTGACATTTGTAACCTGCCTTAACTCATATTCAAACTTCTCAAATACATCAAAATTCCAAATACATAATTGCTATTGGTGAATTTTTGTTTATTCAACAAACTCACAAGTTCCATTGTTTCTTTAAAAAGAACTCAAGTCTTTGATCTGAATAAGAGAGAAATGAATTAAAACCAGTAATTCAAATATACAATGGCAGTAAGAAAATACTATTTCTCTCCTATATTATATATTAAACAACATTTACCTAAAATTAAGTTGTTCTATCTCACAATTAAAACAAGATCAAACAGAAGCATTATTAAACTATTTTGCTGCCACATTAAAATCATTAGATGAAAACAATGATAAATCACTAACCTCTGAGCATAATTTAAAAAAAGTTTGTTTTCTGATTTATTGAGATTCTTTATGAAATCAAATTTGTAGAATATAGCATTTCTCATTGATGTAGCACCATTTAATTTAAAGGTAAAGATGGAACTACCAAATATCGAGACACTGGCATTATAATTTAAAACAATGTAAAAGAAATATGAATCATAAATTCAAATAGTGAGGATTATTATTTTCCTGCCATTGGAGTGAAATCTTCGAGTTTCCAATGTAGGAATAATAATTTAATTGTGTGTTTTTCACAGAATGATCAGTAATTAAAAACTGTCAAACAGGAAATGCACTGAAAACCTGCTGTTATTTTGATACCAACTCATCTGGTTGTTGTTGAGTTGAACATTTAAAGCGCCTCATCACCTGCTGAATAATGCCCATTGCGATTCAATGGTTCTTTCTCTGCAGCATCAGCAGGCCTGTTTCTCTTGAAGAAGCCACACTAACAGAAAACAAAATAAAATTAATATTTGATCCCATTCAACTGTTTCTATTACCCTTACTTTTTGTGCCTGACAGCACAGATTTTCTACGAGAATACAATACAGTATTATTTCCCCTCATTTATATTTATCTAACAAAGTAAAGTTAAACCACAATTATTTCAATAAATCATTTTTTTTAAATCACTAATAATTCAATTGAAAGTATTTAAACTTTTGTATTACTGAGTGTCTTTTTTTACTGCTATGCAGGAGTCAAGGTTCCAGAAGTTTGAGTATCGTTATAAATTTTTTCCTAGAAAATTATCACCAAATTTAATTAATTACCAGGTATATCTTTAAATGGTGAGCAATCACTATCTACGTAACCAACTAACTTCTACATTAATGAAATAGCTCATAAAAATGTGATCTGATTTGCTGCCATTTAATTATTAAAGATGTAATTTTATGAAGCAGAAGTATTGTACATTTAAAATTAAATATAATAAAGTAAAACAAAATGCAATATTCATTGCATATAAAAAAAATAATTGAAAATATTTACATTCTCATAATTAACATTTGAATGCTCCAGAAATTTTCATGTTTAACAGCTGAAATAGTCCACTCAGTTTAATACTAAGTCACAGGCAATGTTATATGAATGGTCTTACACAACAACAGAGAAAGCTCCAACTTTAGAAAATCAACTATTTTAATTTAATGTGATTTATTTAATTTTAATCAAATATTAATTAATTTGATTAAAAAATCATCTGTTCATGTTTTCTTGTACTCCAGAATTCCTTTCCAACATTTTAACTATAAATAGTTGAAAGATGAATAAATGTTTAAAAAATAAAACAAACAAAATAAATAATAATAATGAAATTTAAATAAGCACAAGATTAGCTTGTAATTCCAATTCGTAGTGTTTGAAGACCTAAGCAAAATACCAGCACTTTTTATTTATAAATAGGATTAATATTTCAGGAAATTGTGAGTAGTGTCCTCTAAGAACACATTGGATTCTTAAGCCTTAAAAGGTGTTGTTTTGCAAAGAAGAGAATATCACTTTATTTTTCCTTGTCTTTGTGAAATGGAGAACTTGCATGTTATAATGTCTCATAGAAAATGTCATAATTTAATAATGTAAAAATTATTTTGAAGATATCTAACATGGCAATAAACTACTAACTAGGGTTTTCATAATCAATGGCATAACAAGATCCAGTGATATTTTGAGCCATGGTAACCCACAACTCAGATATCTCATGAATTCAGCATCTATTTCCACATGAAGTGCTTCAAAAAAATCCTATGGGCTTGGTAAATGGGCTAAGGACCAGGGACACTAAGGCACCTAACATCCAATTCCTCTGAGGCATATGCATAAGGGGATGTTTGCTGCTGTCTAGGGTCAGCAGACTAGCAAAACCCTTATACAATTGTTCCAGCTCATATACGTTTTTAGAGTTTAGAATATAGTTATTAAAATTAATATTCATATTTTCACAGAAGTAAGTCAATTTCTTCAAGAAGGGAACAAGGAAGGATATAGTAGCAAAAACCTATATTCATAATTCAACTTGTATATTGATTAGGGTAGAGATCCCAGAATTTAAAAAAGTCACAGCATACATTTCTCCCAATAGTATGTTGCATTCATTGTTTACCTGTTTTTTAATGCAAAATAAAGAAAATAAATATGTTATTTAGATTAAAGTGGAAAGTCTTGTGTTGTGTATTCATACCCGCCTTTTGGAACAAAACTAACAGATTTTACTCCTGATTCGAGTTCAAAATTAAAGCTCAAAAGCTTTTGCTTGAGCTATGTGTAACAGAAACACACACACACGCCCGCACACGCACACACGCGCACGCGCGCGCGCACACACGGGCACACACGCGCACGCGCGCGCGCACGCACTCTCCACACATAGACCCATACATACACAGGTGCTCATGCATGCCTATGAGCACTCACACAATCATTTCAAGACCCTCAAAACAGATTTTACCAACAAAATCTTATCCTTGAATTATTGGACTGATTCCAATACTTTCCCTTTACATTTTACATAGCCAAGAAAAATTAAAAATACAGAAATAGCAAATTGTTTCTTTGGATCTTTTTATTTAAAAATTAGACTGTCAAAAAAATTCATTAACAATAATAAAATTAGCTTACCTTCCATAATAAAAATATTAGCAACAGCAGAATAATTGTGCCAGCTACAGCAGATAAAACAACAACCCAAAGGGGAACAATGTCAGGTATAGTAGGTGAATCAGTAGACACAATATCTGTGAATACTTCATGATCACGAACAATTGGCTCATGTGGTGTGCCAATATGTGGTAATTCTGTTACTTGAAGGACCATTCGAGATGAAGTTTTTATTATTCTGTTATCTTTAAGCTGAAAAAGAAAAGTGAAATGTGCAAAATATGACATAAATATTTTGATCATAAAATCAACCAACACATTCATAACTATGATTTATTTATAATACTAACGCAGAACCTGATAAGTCCAAAATTTTTTTGTTATTTGATCATTGATGTTTTTGTCATCCAGAGAAATTTTGCAGTATACTATTAGAAAGGAAAAGGGTGTTAGCTGTGAAACTTTAATGATATTGCCATATTATTGTAAATATCTTAATTTCAGCAAAGCATCAACTTTGGAAAGCATTTTTTGAAAAATAGTTTTGGACATGATGGTTCTGCCGCAGTACTACAGATTTATAAATGTGTGTGTGTTAGGATTTATATACATTGTCTAAAATATGCAACTCTAAAACTTTTTTCACTTATGCATTTAAAATAGTGCAACAAAGAGAAAATGTTATTGAGTTCCAAAAGAAAGCTGACAAAACTATACTAATGTTTTTGTTTCTGAGAATATTCCATGCACATGCCAATAATATATTTGTCTTTTGTCTTTGACTTCTAGCACTTCAGGCCTTAGTTTTACATCAATACTCTTAAAGTAAAAGTTATATAAAATTAAATTTTGTTTAAGACAATTTTGTTATTTTATCTTCAAATGATCAAAAGTCATTGAATTTGAATTAGCTTCTCACATGCCTTAATCACAAAGAAAAACTTTTCAGAGTTTGACAAACATTTTTTCTTTCATTGTACAACCAAATAGAAAAATAACACCTATCAGCCAGTGCAATAATAATTACATAAAATAAAAGAGAGTATTCTATTAATTGAGACATATGTTTTGTGATTTCCCAATAATTTTAGGAAAAATATTAAATGACCTTATTTCAGGGCCAAAATATAGTGTATGTTTGTTTATGTATATATGAATGAAATGACATTAATTGGTGTTTGAAATTTGTTAAGGCAAAATGTAGTGAAATAAAATGTACTATTAATAATTTTTTAAGAACAAAGAAAAATTTTAAAATAAAATATTGAAATCTCACCTTTTTCATAGTAGGAACCCAAACTCTCATTCTTAAAGCAATTAATGCATCTTGTCCTTCAGTAAGAGGTCCCAAAGTACAATGAATTCTTGTGCAATTTGTGGCATTGCATTTTAACAACTCTTGTACAGAGCTATCAGGTACAGATCGACGATATCGACCATATAATCTCAGTTGACCCTCCTCGTCTTCGTCTCTATGAGAACCATGTCTTTGGTTTCCTTCTGGTTGTTTTGTAAATTGAGCACCTAAGTCTGCCAAATCAGGATCAACAGTAGTCCTGCGATGTTCTTCATTAGCATAATGTCTTGAGCTAGAACTGGAAGAGGAGCCATGTTGCTGACCATAACCTCTTGCAGCATAACCCAGATCAACCTCACCACCATCCCCTAATAAAACCGATGAAGTGTAAAATTGTCCACTTCCTCTTGATGCTTGCCCTCCAGGTTTATTTATTCTTTGATCTCTTCCACTTGCTGCCGCTCGTCCTGAATTATAATGATCTGAGCCTTGGCTCTGACCAGCACGTCCTTGGCTTTGTTCAGAGTTCCAATTTGAAGCGAGATGTTGATGAACATTTGCATCACTTGAAGAATCATCTCCATAACCTCCTCCTCTATAATTCTGATCGTAGGTATGAGAAGTGCCACTCTGACTCCAACCAGAGGATGACTGCTGATGAGAGCTGGATGTTCTATGATGATTACTTGAAGAATGGGATGCTTCCCCAACATTATAATCATTGTCACCATATTGATGGGTTCTTTCTCGAGATCTGTGGTCTAAAGAGCCATACTGGCCATCAACATGTCGTTCATTTTCATCAACATTGTCACGACCAACATTATCTCTCCCTGAAGACCACTGGGTGCCGTGTCCTGCATTTGAGTTACTACTTCCACTTGTAGACCAACTATGTCTAAACACTCCATGAGAACTATTCTGTCCCTGTGTTCTATCTGAGTCTTGCCTTCTATCATAGTAATCTCTTTCACTTTCATAATCTTCATTATCATGGTAATCTCTATCGTAATATCCTGTACTTTCATGATAACCATCTCCGGTCTCTTGGTGACCACTCTGACTGGTGTGGGAACCAACAGCCTGTCCATAATTTCTATAATCTTTATTATCCCTATAACCAGTATTATCATATCTCCCTTCTCTGTCACTGTGATCTCTTGCATTATATCGAGACTCTCCAGTGTTATCACGGTAAATGCTAGTATTATCCTGATAACTTCCCCCACTTGAGTAGGTTCCACTAGTTTGATTACTTCCAGAAGTATCAGAATGACCTCTTTCTACCTGGCCTGATTGTGATCTTGAAGAGCTAGAATAGTGAGTTCTGGACTCATATTCAGCACTACCTCCTGTTCGTCCACCAGCAGAATGGTGATCAACAACACCCTGACCTCTCTCTGCCTGGCCTGACTGTGAGCCTGAAGAACTGGAGTAGTGCGTTCTAGACCCAGATTCGGCACTTCCTCCAGTTTGTCCTCTGTCAGAATGGTGAACAACAGCTCCTTGACCTCTTTCTGCCTGACCTGACTGTGATCGTGAAGTGGAGTAGTGAGTCCTAGACTCAGATTCAGCACTTCCTCCAGTTTGTCCTCTGTCAGAATGGTGAACAACAGCACCTTGACCTCTTTCTGCCTGACCTGACTGTGATCCTGAAGAACTGGAGTAATGGGTCCTTGATTCATATTCCACACCTCCTCCAGTTCTTCCTCCAGTAGAATGATGCTCAACGACCCCTTGACCTCTTCCATTGTGATGTGTTTCACTGGTCTGTACTTGCCCACCGCTTTCCGAAGTGTGATTCTCATAGTGGTGCAATGGCCCACCATCCTTGCTCCAACTTGCACTATAATTTGTTGATTTGTGCACAACTGGCCCAGAACTACCACTCTGAGTTTCTACGTGTTGTGATGTTCGAGACTTGTTTTGGAAACTGTGACTAGATTGTTGAAAATACCCGGATCCTGTTTGCCCAAATGTTCCTCTTCCTGAATTTTCTAAGCCTTCGTCTTTGTGAATGACTCGTTCCTCATCTACTCCTACTAGTCTATGAGCACCTCCATGCCCGTGGTAGGTTTCTTGCTGGCTTGCACTTCCACCCCTTCGCCCTCCTTCTGAAGGAGCATCATCTTCATGAAGGCTTCCTCTACTTCTTTGTCCCTGTGAGGAGGAACTACCGCTTTGTGCTGATGTTGATGATGAAGATGATTCCTTGGATGCAGATTGCTCAACTGAACCAGTTAATCTTTCTTGGCCATCTAAATAGGATACTCTTCTATTTTCAAGCTGCATAGGAAAAAGAGGAAAATTGTTATTTTTTCATAAATCTTTTAGGCAATACAAATATAAACAAGCACAAAATAATATATTATATAAAATATCAATAATAATAAAATCATTGTTCTATACCTTAAGTGATAGAAGATTAGCTTCAATTGCATCACATTTTATGGAACCTTTGGTTTCTGGTTGTTCCAACAAATAGAGAATATTGTCATCTGAAAATGATATTTTGGAGAATTTACACACATTTACTTTAATATAACATTATAATACTGTAACACAGAACAATTATTCAAGAATTAACAGATCAAAACCTGGGATGTTAGAACAAGAAATACACTCTAGTAAATTAGAAAACAAATTGTGTACCATAAAGGCAGGTGACTCCAATCCAAAACTGCTAGTATTTTAATGTTACTACTTTTGTTAAAAATGTTTTCAATGTTGTTACTTTTGTTCATATGCAAAATATTAAAAATAATACAATCCTTTATATTTACCAAAACCATTTCATTAAAAATGATCAGCAATAAATTTGAAACATGGAAATTGTAAGAAGCAATAAATCAAAGTCCCTTGTACATTGCAGATGGTACTAATCACTCAGTAATCTCTTATTTAAATTTTTTTAAAGATGAAGATGATTCTGGTTACAATTTTTAGTTTTTAAACATTGTGTGACGTTCGTGATAAAAGTAACGATCGTACAATGTAATTTATTTTGAGAATTTGTCACAAAGTCAGTTAAATGGAAGAATCAATATTTCAGCAGAACAACAGAACAGTATGTTTACTCACAAACAAATTTTTGTCTATACTATATTCTATATTTTTGTATATTTGAATATTTGTCTATACTTTACATTCTGGGCTTTCTTCTAAGCGCCCTTATCAAACTCAACTCTCTTTGTAACAATGATTAATTTCCACTAGTTTTTCTTCAGCTGCTGACCATTGCAAAATGCAAAAATGTCCTACAAGATTTAGGCGTTCCTGACTTCCCATACTCATTCAAACAATGTACAAGTCAGTAGACACACAACCAAATATTTCTTCTTTTCTTTACAATAAAGTGGTTTGGCCTCCAATTTTTAACTTATATTTATTTTTCAACTTAACGTGTAAAGTAGTATATTGTTCCAAAGCTTTTCAAGTATTTAATTTTCCTGATTTTATAGATTGTATAGCATTACTTTGATAATTAGCATCTACTATCAGATCCTGTTTTCGTTCTCTACTTTCCCATTCTAATCAAATTTAGCCTACAATATAAGAGTATTTGCTTCAGAAGAGCTTAATATTACAGTCAAACATTCTTAAGATCTCATTTTACAATTTGCTACTTAAAAAATGTCTCAAAAAAAGTATGGAAAGCTTATTTCCCTGTCAATGCAAGTTTTTACAACTAAAATGGACTAGATAGATTAATTTACTACTAATATTAATTTACTTAACACTTCAGTTCTTATCAAAATAAATGTGTTGTTTTGTATTCCATTATTGAACCCTGAATTTATTTTGTCATCAAATATGTTAATTAGATTCTTAGTCTCTGAAGCTGATTGTTGTTTTCTAATTAATAGCATAAATGATCTGAATCTCCCACTTACTTTTATGGTTCAAAATAACTTAGAGCATAGATACTAAAATGATAGGGTATAATAAATTAAGTAGTATGACACAGATTTTTAGTTATATATTTAAAAGTTGTTTAGAATGGTCTTAATTGCAAAAGTACTGAAGGAAATCTCTCTTACATATAAGATATTTAATTGAATATGACTTTTAATTCTATTTCATTGTGGCTTTTAACATTTGAAATTGCCCCTGTCTTAAAATGTAGAAAAGAAATGGACAAGTAATTTTTGGTTAAAAGCTACATTCTAATTTGAAAACACATTTGAAGCAAAATATTTTCATGAAAAATAATATTTTGTAACAATTTTTGAGAGTTAATAATTATGAACGTTCATTTTGATGAACTTTCTAAAGAAATTTGTATTTGAATATATATTTACATTTGAAAAAGGAATTACTGATTTTTAATTTTTCAATAATGTTAACTCAAAATTACTGACTTATAATTAACTCATAAAATTAGCTATAACAGGATAAGCTTTGTAATTCTTCATAAAAGACACACCACTAACTTTAAACACTTGACTCTTCAAGTAGTAGTATAAATTGACAGTACTAAATTTAAGAACAACCAAACTTAAATCCAAATGAATTGTTACAAAATGATCAACATTCAGCAAAAAGAGAAGAAATATTAAAGTATGTATTTAAAGCCAATATTTCACCTGCAAATGTGCTTGTTGGTACAACTAAATAAACTTCCGCTTTCACAATATTAACACGTCCATTGTTGCGAATTTTATGAACATGAACAACTTGTGGTCCAATTTCAGCTTCCTCTTTAAATCCTTCAGTTTTACTGTAGTCCATAGAATTCCAATGCACATCAGATGGAAAGGAGGCTCTGGAATGAAACAAATGCACAAGGAATGTTAAAAGATTAAAATCAAATTCTGATCACTTTAAATAATGAAATCAAAATCTCTGATATTCTTTAGCTTCACTTCACCTTTTACTGTAATAATACTCTTTTACCAAGTGTATTTAATACTATAGTTTTATGAAGTAAAAACTTTAGAGAAATAGAAATCTGTTACTAACCCCATAACAGATAAATCTGTCTGAATGTTAATTGGAATTTTGAACATTATTTTGTTGTCATCCTTGGTGATTTCCTTCTCTGGATTGGTGCTATTCACTTCCATTTCAAAGTCGTAATACGAACGTAAACCTTCTGCATAAGATGGCTGCATGAGAACCTCAAACTCAACCTACAACAAAATAAAATACAAACTACCAAAATACAAACTTGCATGGATAATTTAATTTTTATAGATAATGCTTACATGTTTCTTTGATGACAAAGGATTGCCAATATCACAGAGTAAGGTATTGTTTGAAGCTGTAGTTGGTGGTGAACACTGAATTGTTACATCTTTATTCTCATCTAACCGAGCTATGTTTTTGTAATTCAATCCTTGTGGAATCTTAAGAGAGTATGTTGCTTCAAATGCATCTTCTCGTTTATTTTCAACAAGAACTCTTAATTTGAAATCTTCTCCAGAACCTAAGAAGTACTCTTCCACACTCCTAGGAAATTAATAAGTAATTTATAAAGTATGCCTTTTCAATGTAATAAACCTAACTTTATAAACAAAAATGCACATAATTAATTTTGCTAATTGAAATAATATAAGTCTAGAACTTACGGTTCAACTTTCATTTTCAAATCTGGAATACATATATTATCAGGACCGCAGTTCTTGGCAATGTGGAGAGTATCCTTTTTAACAGGAGGACGAACTAAATCTAGAACAGGAGTCAATGACCGGGTTTGTACACGGGGAGAGAGCAAACTATATCGCATCTCCACCTCCAAGGGAGTGAGTTTATCCCTAATATTTGACTGAAAAAGGAAAGGGTTTGCATATAAATCATTTATAATTTTAAATTATTATTACTATTATTACAACAATATTGTTTCTGTAGAAATAGAACCCTATTTACCTTAATGTATACATTGAAAGGTCTGCAGTACATTGTGTTTTTGACAGCCCAAGCATTAAAATTCATTGAATTTTTCTGGGGAGAATCTCGAAAAAACATGCGGGAACTTCTTGGTTTTGCAGCATCAAGAGTTATTGTTATATTAAATTCTATAAAATAAAAATATTAATGAATAAGAAAAATGTACAATGTAAAAAATATATTTACAAAGTATTAATTTTACTTACCATGCCCATTATCTACTCCCAAACCATCAAATATTATACAAGATGAAACTCCAAAGCAAATGGCATTATTATCAGGGCCTTGAACTTTACAATTATGATTTTTTAAATTGATTTGCTTGTTTGTATTAATAAATTCCACAGTGGCATTGACTTTTACAATTGGACGTGCCCTGGAACACAACACATCACTATTTATTAGCTTTATTTTTAAAATCAGTAATTGGTAATGTTACAATTGTTGACTGAGTAATCTTTACAAAATTAATGACAAAATTAAGAAAAATCCATTTTTCCCCTCCTTTGCATCTACATTCTCAAAATGAATTATTACTGTTACTTAAAGAATCTTAAGAGGTTAATCCTCTTACAGCAACAAACAATTAATGTATTTTTTTACTAGGAAAAATATTAAATATTTAACAAATACTTCAGAATTATTAAAGGAATACTCATCATGTGAACATTAAGACTGGTTGATACCATGATTATAAAACTCAGGGGAAAAAAATTTAAACTGTAAGTAATTCATATAATAGTCCTAAAAATGGCAAAATCATGACTTTAAATCCTAACATCACTTTTTTCAAATCCTAAATATCCCAGATACTAACAATTGTGAATAATTCCAGATCAAAGGATATTGTTCGTAGAAAAAAAGGATGGAAATAAAAATTAATGGCCAGTTAAAATTACCTGAAAAATGCAGCAGAATTTGATTCATAAGCACCTACAACCAAATCAGGGTAAAAGTTATTATCTAGATCTAAGCCTCCAGAAAGAGAGAATCCAAAAGTTGAAAGACTTTGTGAAACATCTTTGGCATGAATGACTTGAGATGGCTTTACTCTGATTCCTTCAGATGAGCCAAGATAAATATAAACAGCACCCCTTCCTTCTGGGCTATCATATGGAGCACCAACAGCAATATCTAAAACATAACAAAACATTTATAAAATAACCTGAACTCCCAAATCACAAATGTGAGCACACAGGAAATCAAGATCACCCAGATAGATTCGCACGGTAAATGTATTGCTTTGGAGGAATGGAATAGAATGGGAAAAGAGGAAGCCGAAGAATGGAGAACTGATATCCAATTCAACTGGATTTTTTAACTCTTCAGGTAACTATGGAAATTCGCTGAACCAACTTCAAACAGCCACATAGCTTTATGCATAAGTGGTTGGACCAGTAATCCTGAATGTGAGTATAGCATGCAACAAGCTGATCATGTACAGTGGGTGCAAAAAATATTGATTCAGGATTGAGGATATCCCCCCGAATAAAATAACAATAACATTATTTTTAAAAAACATCATTGTTTTAGGGGGTTGAAGCCCAATGAGTGTCTCCAATCATGCCCCCTCCTGTGTGAGCAACTGAATGAAATGAAAATTAAAAACAAGGAAAGTGGCCTGATATATTCTAGATTTGCCACTTGAATAACTTCTACGACATCTTTGACTCTGAACCACAATATTTATAACCTACAGGACACTTCTTGGTAAAGCAATGTGTGAAAGAACTATTTGAAGGTGTTGAAATTAGAAATTAGAAATGTCAAAGAGGTGGATACAATTTTATTTAATTACTAACTGATTACAGGATTACTAGCTTTACCATGATATGTGCTATGTCATTATAATAAATTACTTTCCCCCTTCTGCCGATCGGGAACTCTCCCCGTGCTAGGAGCAATGCCGGCACCTTGATGTATAGCGGGTTGCATCAGTTCCCTACGAAACTTAAAGGATGTAACGAAAGGAACGACATTTTGACATTCCAATTTTCCCTCTCCCCCACTCAATGATCTTTTTATGCATACACATACGTGTTCGTGAAAGTTTTGAGAGCAATTGCTCCAGTAGTTCAGAAGTTTTGGTAAAACACACGTGCGTACGCGTGAACGCTACACATATCAATGTAAGAATAGTTATTTTTAGACAGCCGCTACCATAAGCGGCGCTTTCAGGGCATCCCTAGCATGCCAAAAGAACAATTTTTAGCACTAGTGCTGAAAGTGAAACGATGCTCAAGTGTTCAGATAGTTCTGTGAATGCTACGAAGAAAAAATGCATTTGTCTGACTCGAAGAACCTAAATAACCAAAAAGGATAAAGGCACAAACGGGACAAAAGGGACCAAGGGGACAAAAGAGACAAACAGGACAAAAGGGATAAAAGAGATAAAAGGGCAAAGAGGGCAAACGGGACAAACGAGACAAAAAAGACAGAAATGAAAAATGGACAAAAGAACAGAAAGGAAAACCGGACAGAAAGGAGAAATGGACAAAAAGGATCAGTCACTATGTCTAAAAAATATTGTATGACACACGTGGAAAAAAAGGGGATTGCGCCACTCGGCCTATCGACCTCAACGCGCAATATAACCCTTTCAACTCGCGATGTCGCAACCCTTCCAACTCGCAATATAAAAGACAGTGGCGGATGGTGCCCCCAACCGACTGGAGGCTGCAATTCCATCGAATGACGGAAATGTACTTTCCAAAATTCAAAATACGAATATATAATAAAAATGTAAGCAATTCAAATTCATTAAAAGTAAGTTCAATGAGTCTATATTGAAACATTATATACATAATTGTCGTCGTGTTCGTTCGGGTGAATACATCTCCCACGCAAAGTGGTCTCTTTGATTTTTACTGGGCACTTAAGTTCGGTTCTAGCACGTTGCACGACACGTTTCATGAAAATAAAATTATTTTATTTCGAAAATTCAACTACCCTGATATATTTTGTAATAAAGAGTCTTCCACACACACACACACACACACACACACACACACACAAATGCACACGCGCGCTCGTATTCCCACAAGCACTCTCCATGCGGAAATATGCTGCAAGGGGACAAACGAGACAAACGGGATAAAAGAAATAAAAGGGAAAAGGGGACAAACGGGACAAATGAGACAAAAAGGACAGAAATAAAAAATGGACAAAAAGGACCAGTCACTATTTCTAAAAAATAGTGTATGACACACGTGGAAAAAGTGTTTTATTGCAAGCAGAAATATTATATACCGTGAAACGGACTTCCTTCCAGAGCCAACTTAAAACAAAAAAAAATCATCAAAGGCACATTTTAAATTAATAAATCTATATCAAATGAAAACAAATTCAGTAAACATCGTAAATCATGTCAATAATTGACTAAACTTGTGTATTTCTAATAACATGCGAAATTCATAAAATTACGTTGCAACGAGTCGGATGAAAACAGAATATTGGGATTCCCCGGAGACTCCCTCGGTCGCCGCGCAGCGCTAGACAGCGCCACTCGCATTGTTGCCCAACCAAAAAGCCTATGTTTGCCGAGATAAATCGAAGGGACAAAGTGTAAATGCAGCAAATCCAGTAACACAGCCAAGAGCACGGTGCAATCAATACACAGTAAGGCACCATGCACCGGAGACAGCAGCAGTAGGACGCTCTTTCGTTTCAAAATGATTTCATGTACATCGATATTGCTGCAATATCTTGAATATTGAATTTCATTAGGAAAATGTACATTTTTAACATATAATTATCTGGAAGTTGTGCAGACGTGCGACCTAAGCACGAGCCACCACTGGTAAAAGGTCACTTTTACTACTTGTATCATAAAATTAGTTGTTTATTTTTTAGCCCAAAAATTTTATTTCTTTTGTTCCTTCAATAATACTTACCACCATATCCATCTCTATTAATGTCTCCAAGACTAGCCACTGATAATCCAAAACGAGATCGGGAATTGATGCCATCACGTGAGTTATTCCTTTCATACTAAATTTTGGAGAAAAAGAAAAAATAATTAGATTTTAAATGTTTATATTTAAAAGTTCAAATCAATTTTGCTGAATAAAACTTACATCTCCTCTTTGGTAGAACACATAAATTCGTCCCGTTTCATATTTTCCTTCATTATTACGTTCAGTGTAAAGTGGAGCACCAACTACCAAGTCATCTTTTCCATCTCCATCCATATCAGATGCACATAACGAATAGCCAAAATATCCTCCAAGTTGGTCACCACTAATATCCACAATTTGGAGCAAATCCCAGGTATAAATCTCCACCTAAAAATAATTTACCAGGTTATTATTTCACGAGAATGGTCTTTGTTTTCTATATTCAATATAATTAATGTTATTATACCACAAGCATGTCACAAAACTATGGAGCATCACCTTTTAAGACAAGAAAATAAGCATATAAATTATAAGAATAATTATGGACACAAGTGCTACCAATTCTAATTTATGAACGACAAACATGGTCGCTAACGATATTGCAAAACATTACGCTGCAAAGGTACCAATGCACAATGATGACGACAATGTAGCAAATTTTCAAAATGAGTCAGAAAAACTTGTGTTGAAATTGTAGGAAGAACAAAAATGAAAGTCACAGTTCGCCGATTAGATGGCCAAGATCGCTAAGGCAGTAGTGCCGTAGAAGTCTTGGACCAGAAGATCGCGGTTTCGAGTCCCGCCTCGTGTGTGTGTGTGTGTGTGTGTGTGTGTGTGTGTGTGCGTGCGTTTTTTTTTTTTTTTTTTTTTTTTTTTTTTTTTTTTTTTTTTTTTTTTTTTTTACGTGGGCAGGGGAAAATCTCTAACAGACACACGCGGGGCCCGCAAACCCGCTGGCGTGTGGATTCATGAGTGCTACAGCATATGCTACCCACTAACCCCTCCCTTTCCTCCTATTCCTTCCCAGCGGAACGGCCGTCAGGCATTGCACTCGCGAGAGGAAGGATGGGCTTTTCGCACGTCACCGAAATATTACGGGAGTCTTCTTCGTAACTGCTCCTCGGAGCGGAGCGGTCTTCAGGACCTTTGCGGCATAGGTGCTACCGCACTTCAATTCCTCTTGTGTCAGCAGCATCCCTAGTGACGATGGTCTCAGGGGTCACTTCCTCTTGGAGGAGTCTGTGAAAGTTCTTTCCTTTCCCACTGTGAAGGCGTGGACAATGAACCACGAAAACGTGTTCTATCACTCTTCAATCACCGGGAAACCACCTTGGGCATGATGAGCTATCGTCCAGCGGAATCGGAGCTTGATCTTGCGGTACACATCCATGCCTCGTCAGCATCTGAGTTAGATAAAATCTAAATTCTCCATGTTCCCTTTGATCCTACGTCATGATGTCGGGAATGACCCGAAATGTCCATCGCCCAGTGTGATCTGCTCCATGGCGTTGCTATTGGTCACTTGTCACCCCTCTTCTTTCTTTCGTAATTGATATTCCAGTTTGATGGCCCCTACGCTTGCCGCAAATAGAGTCTAGCTCTCTCCTGCCGCAATGAGGTCGATCGGAGCATATCTGCTAACAACACACAGCATCATAGGATACGGTGCGAACGCCTCGAGCAACCCGCAGGCGGACCTTCTACTGCACGTTAGTCCACGGGCGCTATGAACTGATGCCCATGGCATCCAGCCCAAACGGCGGGCTGGTAGAGAAGAAATGGAATTTCTAGCGGCTAGTCGCAGCCTTCGGCTTATTGCCGCAGGTCCCCCTACCATTAGGCATAATGCGTGCCAATGCGGATGCATAAGATGAGAACGCTTTCTCGGAGACATTGCGCAGGTGCCTCGTCATAAGCAGCAGTCTCGCGTCAATATGGACTCCCCAAATACCTCAGTGACAGTGCGAGGCATATTCTTGCAGCCTCCTACTTAAGAGTAATCTCTCTCCTCATCTTTTCTGCCGGTCACCCCAGCACAGCCTCTGTTTTAATGGGCGGCCATCTGTAGCCCTACTGACGTAAAGCCACCGCCGGCATCTCCGCCACAACGCCTCGTTCGGCACTGCGTGACTTGTTCTTTCGATGTACTTTGCCGACAACGATCAAATGCAACTATCGTCTAGCGAATTTTCTCGAATCGTTTTTGCGCTTCCGGCACACTGAGCTTCACACACGCGCGTCACTACATAGTGTTCCACACTACATCGGCCAAGTCCCGAACCTTGTGGGACAACCGCCTGTGACGTATACAGATTGCTACTTCCAGACACAGTTTTCATATAGGAGGACTCTCCTCCTTAAAATTGTAATCGTTTTACGCAAGTTCGAGAATGTACCTTGAACTCCAAGCGTTTTGTCAGCGCAGAAAGAATGGAGCTCCACCTTTGCAAGTGTTAAAGGCGTTTTTCACGTCTAGGGTCACTATAGCTACCTAATACCTTAATCTGGACCGCTTTCCATGTGTTGCCTTCAAATGGGCCCTTGCGTGCGATGTTCGATGACTGCCATTCAATAGCATCTACCGTGGATCTCGCTTTTCTAAAGCCCGTCTGATTTATATCAGAACAAATCCCTTCGAGGCACCTCTGTAAATGACTAATATAGGACTTGCCAGATAAATCCGGCTCCAAACACTTTGCCCTGCTGTGTCCAGTAAGCATATTGCCGATAGGCCTGCCGGAATCATAGCGTCCTTATCGCCCTTACGGAAGAAGGACTAACTGTTGTCTGCGCTTCCATCGACGGGGGAAATTCCCCTCTGTATGCTGCATTATGCCTGCAAAGAATAGATCGGGCCGAGTCTAATAGCGGTCTTAATTGCTACATTGGGACCCATCTAATCTCGGGGGCTTTGCAATCTTGGACCTTGCGCAAGCTCTGGAAGTTTCATCACGTGACTCCCGGAACCCGTCGCTCTAGATCTTCCACCGACGATGCTTCGGTTGTAACGTATCTACCTGGCGAGGAAACCAAGGTAGCTACAACACTTTTTCCATTGAAAACCGGGCAAGTGGGTGGGTCGCCTGACACATACCCTGAGCGTCTGGCCGTTACCAGCTTATACGGGCGTCCGCAGGCGGTGCATGCATCCACCTCCTCCCCTAGCTCTCTAAGCACGACACTTACTAATCTTAATGGCTTTTGTGAAGCTCTTCTGGCGTCCAGATGTTGACTTCTTGGAGAAATTCATAGTTTTGGGCGGCGGCTCCTGGCGCGCTTGTGCCAATCTACGTGTTCGGTGGATTCCCCTGCGAAGTTTCCGCGATCCTCGTCAGTCACCAGTACAACTGGAGGACGGCAGTTCTCGATGCCTTGGACCCTTTTGGTCATTGACCTGCCTCCACAAAGCGTCAATACACGGTTCAATTACAGCGCGTTTCTTAACAATATATTCAGCAGTCACGGGCCAACATATCTTTTCAGGGTTGCCCTCCATCATGGCAATGAAGGAATCACCGATCGACACGTCCTTGGTTCCAACAGCTTTCCTTCTACCCTTGGTGAGCCAAATGCATGCTTCTTTACTCTTCATACCAATAGCTTGGTGGTCACTATGTGTATAATGTGCATAACCCCTCCCAAGATACAATCACGCGTCTTAGCAGCGCTTTTACAGGACGAAAGTTATACGATCAAGCGACGAGCCTGCGACCATTCATCTAGAAAGCGTGGATGGCCCGTGTTGCAGAGGCAGACACGCCAAATGTCAGCGCTGTCCAGGAGAGCCACCCACCACCCCCCGGCGTCGGGTTTCGTGTTACTCTGGCTGCGCACTGCCCCACTCTGCGTGGCCCATATCTGAAGTCCCCGCCCCCTCCCTCAGCCATAATAGAGGCTTTCGCTCTCTCCCGCCCCCCGGCGGCCATCTATTAAGCCGGATCGTAATTTCCTCGAACTCCTCAAGCGATGACTGGGTGCACAGCTACATATAGAACTATACCCGCAAACCTTCTTGGAATCTCAAGTATCATCCTTGGGGACCTTGCATAACATCCTGGACTGGATTACAACCAATATCATAACTGCAGCTCGGTTATCGCATTTCCCGAACCCAGGACGAAGAACGCAATATTTGTACTGCTGCAAGTATTGCAACATCTAATATTCATCTCGCCGTTGGGTGAGAAGGTACTGGGCGGCCTCGGCAATGATTTAAATTTAGTGGAGAACTCTCATTTTCTGTATCCGTTGCTTCATTGCTACTTGGTACGCCCGGACACGTAACTCCCTGTCGGGGTTCCTTCTATCTTTGCAGAGCACACACCTCGCCTCAGCGCTTTGCCAGCCTGACGTAAGTTGGCCGTCTCTTCTCCGCATCGGTGACACGGATTTTGACCTGTCCGTCTTGGCATCGCGTGCCAGATTTCCGACGCCCCACAACGATAACACTTCCGCACAATTAACTTTCTCTCTAAGCGGCAGTTTACCACACCCAATGCGAACACGGCCGCTCCTCAATGCCTCCTGGCTAGTTCCGTGGTAGCGGACATTGCAGTTGGTCCTTCTGTAAGCTCCGTACAGATATGACACTTGCTAGCTCAACAGGCTGATTTCAGTTCCTGCTTACAGCTTCACCAGACTTAAGCCGTTGTCGCTCGTCAACGGTCGCGGATCTCGACGAGTCGTTTCGTCTCTCCTCCGCGTCGTTCACTCTTGCCTAACTCGCCAGGTTTTTGGATTATACTTCAAGATATCTTCGAGGCTGCTGCAGAATTTCGCGCAACTCCGAGCAGGTATCCTGCTGATTCTCTCTACCTTTGCGACGTTCTCACCAGCATCTTTCAGAGATGGGTCGCCCTTGATCTGCCTTCGATACAGATAGGAGGGCTCCGTCATTTGCCTTACATAACGAGTTCGGGGCGATAAGCAGTGCGGATTCGCGGCTAACGTCTCTTACTCCTACGGACATGCAATCCATCTCATGATTTGGTGTGGTGTTCATTCAAGGCTTTTGGTGCAGTGCTGAGGAACTTCAGCATGTTTTGAAATGTTCCTTCCTGCACGACTCTGAAGCTTTCTCTCACTTTCGTAGCTTTCAGCGGTCTTCTTTCTCGATCGAAACGTTTCGTCCACCGCCTATGTGGCCGCAACTCCGCGCCGTGTCAAAGGGCCCCACAATCATCAGCATCGGCAATATCAGAAGTTTGTGGTGAAATACCTGCGTCTCGCCTCGACCGTCTCAGGCAAATCACACATTAACTGCGTTTCGCATCGGGGCCGAGGAAACTAACCACGATCATCAGAATTCGGCTAAACCGCAGTCAGCGCAGGTCGGTGTCCGGTGCCTCCAGTCTTCGCGCCAATTACTTGTTCCCTGGCTGCCCTTCGGTCGAGGGCCTTGATAACCATCCAAGTTTCAGGATCGACAACCCATGGTTGAGGTGAATTGCGTCTCCGCCAACTGTCTTCAAGCTAATTACAGATAGTGACCTATGTCACTTATCAAAGTCAGATCGGATGAGCCATACGCTTTAATCTCCCGTGGACATTATTCTTGGCAGGCGACAAAATGCAGGAGACCCGATCTTTTTCCCAATTCCGAAACTTCACTCTCCTATTCCTTCAACACACTTGTGACTTGGCTCCCCAAAAAATTCCATGGAGCCGGCACGACTAATCGGGGCTTTCCGACCGAATCAAGAATGTGGCGAGAAATTCCGGCGTCAACGCTCATGACTCGCTTGGGTAGTACCAGTTTGAGCTCACTCCATACACCATCACTGGTTTTATTTTCGGGGTGACCTTCCCTTAGCGTTTCTATATCTACCGCCAGAAGAGATGGAATTGCGAAGGAAGGTAGAAGGGGGATTTTCGTAGGGATAAGGGAGCAAGATCCCATAAGCTTACTCAGTCCACCGTAATTGGATCTTGCGGGCATGGGAGGAAACTAGGTGGGAAGTAGAGGATATTAGAGGCAAGGACAGCGGACAGCTGCTGCACTTTTAAAGTCGCTTTTACGACAGGCGGAGGTCCGATGGCGCTATTCTACAAAAAACCCCGGCAACCACACAGGGTTGTGTGTGTGTGTGTGTGTGTTTTTACAGGAAGTCTTAAACAATGGTCACAAATAATTTGCTTGGTATGACCTACAGTTAGACAGTCACCTGTATCCTTCATTACCCACTTGTTTTTGTTTAAGATGGATTTAATCTTACTCATTAACAATTGTACTTAAACGGTTTTCCCCTTCCCATTCAAATGTTTCCCATATTTAGTGTGTATGTTTCTATTCGGTGAGAATGCTTCCTTGATTAAATCATGCCTTTGTAGCAGATTTACCATGACGATGTCTGAATTTTGATATTTTGTACACCTCAATATACCTTCCACCTGACACAGAGCACCATCAGCTTTGCTACAAGATATATCATTTGAGCTTGCAATCAGTACTTTGATCTTCAACTCTTCATTACCCAATCCTTCTACTATAGAACAAAATTTCGCACTCACAATTATCTCTTCATTCTTACCTTTCCTTGGAGATGGTCTCCGCGAGGTCTGCCAACTGCAACTGTTGTATTTCCCTCAGGACCCTCAAAGTACCCAACAGCTACAGAATACCCAAGGTAGGTATCATCATCTGTAGATGGCCCTTCTGGTGTTTCATAGACCTCTGGTCTTCTGTGCAAGTTTTCAACAAATAGCTGCCCTATAAATACAAATTAAATGTTCACTTTCTGAATTCAGAATTGTATCAATTTAATAATATATTTAAAATCTCAATTCATATTTTATAACAAAGAAGCAAAAGATACAAATATCTCCAAGGGCATTGATGTTCCTTTAAGAGCATGAGAACAATTCTTATATTACTTCATGTCTCTGGCAACATTGTAATATATGGGAACGGAATATTAAAAAAAACAACAAATTATGCCCAATTTATTTTTTACTGAATGAATTTTAAAACCAATAAACAGTTAGTGACAAGTCTACTAGGTTACATTAAATTCACCCAAGCCACCTGAGTTATGAATGGGAATTTGCCACATTGGAAGTTTTTGATTATAAAAAAATTCAGAATTTGTTTTCAGACATGGGTTTCACACATCAGACATGAACCAATACTGGGGCAATTAATACAATTCAAAATGGAACAGTTATAATGTGACATTCACCACCCTCCACCAGCAAACACTGCAATTTTAAAAAAGCTGTTACTTGTTGTCATATTTACAGCAGTGGCATAGCGCCAGAAGTCAATGACTTTGTCAATTCAAAGTAGAAGTTAGGCATGACTCTAAAGCAAGTTGTCTTTGAAGTTCAATGTGTATTGTCTCCTCTTTCATTAATTTAGTCATTACATTGACACAAGCATGTGCAGTCATGATGAAATTCTTTGCACTTTGCTTTTAGCCATCTCATCTGAATAGTGGTAGAAATTTATTAATACAAGTTCTGAGAGATTTTTTAGTACAAGATTCAATCATTTGGCTTTGGAATTGAATTTTTTAAAGAAGGGCTTGAGAATCATCCAAAATAATAATTAATGATTCAAAAATGTATTTGGATGTTCGAAAATACAATAAAATCCTCCTTATTGTATTCCAATTTGCAACATCAATATTCACTACTACTCAGTAGTTTCGGCTTTTGGAATCATTTACAAGCTTACATCTTTCTACAATGTCTATATCTATTATATATCTTTCAACATTTTGTCAATAAAACATAAGAGAAAATTGCCATTAGTGATATCGGCTTTATACTGTAAGAAAGGTAGATTTGATCAGTGATTTTGAAAATAAGTTTCTGTCAGGGTTCACTCATGAGTCTTAAAATACAGTTTGCATAAAGCATCACATTATTCTGCAGAAAAGTATCCACTCAGAGCATTTTACATTTTTACCACCAGTATACTGTACTTTTATACATCTTATTTTCTTATGCTGCTATCTCATACTAGCTTGATTAAATCATTGGAATTATAAAACATCCTTATTCAGAACATCAGAACTATAAAAATCAGCATGCATTCACTTTTATTTTCTACTTGCAATCATATCGAGGTTTAAGATCAAAGCATAAGATGTAGTTGAAATATAATTATGGACATCAGTGAGTTTTTAAGTGCATTGTTATTTCTTTTTATTTTGCATGAGGAAAAGCAAAGTGCAATATTAGAGACATTGGTCTTCCGGGGGTTCACAAACCTCTTCATACTCGTGTATTTATTGACTTACACTATAAAATGAAGAAGTAATTTCAGTTCAAGACAAAATAGTCTGAATATTAATTTGCAGACATTTTAAAATACACATGCTAATGTGGATTTCTCAGAAACATTTCTTTCTTATGACCTATCTTCTTTTCACTATATATCACGCTATGCCACTATTATTGCAACTTGGAATGTTACTGTGTCACTTATTATCATTAACTTTATTAGAGCTTCCTGTGTAAACAATGTTTAAATCAGAGTACTTAATAATCCCCTTCGTTGTTTCTGTACAGTACAAGCCTGAAATCGACCTTCTCATTTGTGATACTGAAAAGAAGCAGTGCAATTAATAATTAATTGTAGAAGCTGTTTTCCTCACTTGCACCTCACCAACATTAGATGTCTGTGAGGAAGGGCGGTGAGTCAATAGGAATTCTACCACTCAATCACAACGAGATGGCTGGAAACAGGAGAACTAAGTGCACTGGATAAATTATACTAAGGATCTGGGAGGATACACCAGTTAATTATGATGGAATCAAGATCAATATGGAATAAAATAAAAGCTTTAGAAACATAAAATGCACCCTGAAAGACCAACTGCTTCACATATTACCCAATGAGCAACTAACTCATCAACTAATTTGCAGATCATGCTACCTGAAAGTAGTTATTTTGAAACAAGTAATGTGTAAAAGCAGTCATGTTCTTTCCAGTGCAAAGTAATTATATTTTATGTATTTTTTTATGTATTAATTCAGAGCTCAAGTGTAATAATATTATATTAAAAACTATTTTGATTGACTACAGAAATAAATGAAGAAATGTACAATCAATTCAAAATGTATTTACTATCTTATTAAACAGTATTTTGTATTACAATTGAGCTCTAGGAGGTTAACAAGGTATATACAAAATGCATGTAGCAAAAGCCGCTCGGTTTTTAACACGTCCACTGCAACCCGCAGAATGTTACATCCAGCAAGCCATCATTGCTGTACAATGACTGTAACAAACTCCTGTGCCGTTACCTGCAGTCGCATTCACTCGAATTGATTCGGGGGGCAGGAAAGGCATGAACTTTTTGGCGTCCACAGTGAACACTTGTCCTGTGTAAGTAAAAAGATGTAAAAAATATGCTCCTACTCTTTTGTAGGCTACTTTTTCCTTTTTCTAAGAAAGAATGAATAAAACTTTGTAGGCTGCAAGAAGATGAGATTATCACTTTCTGGAAAAATAGTTTTCATTTATTTAAGAGTCCAGTTGAAAGAGACTTTCTCAAAGTCATTGATGTTCAGTACAAAAACCAGAAAAACCTGTTGACCATCTAGGTTGGCTGCTGTAATTATTTTTAATTAGAGACATTTATGAAGAACATGAAAACAAAATAAATGTATATCATCACATTCCTAGCTAGTTCCATAATTTTACTATGAACTTAAATGTCAATAAGCAATCAAAATATAAAATACTTAAATAATCACTCTTGTAAATTCTATTACATTAATGTCTAATAGATCACACAACATTCTTAAATTAGTTCTGTAAGAATATTTTATTCACTACTGCCTCTCACCTTGCCAATAGTGACTTCCAGGAGCACCAATGAATAGCTGCGTTCCATCCTGAAAACACATTGTCAGTACAATAAAACTTGGTCTATATTCATATTTATTTGCACCAATGCAATATAAATGTTATGTAGAAATAAATTGTTGAAAATTTTAATTAATGTTTTGTCTTTTGACTTATATTCTTTAATCATAACAAATATATCTCTAATCATAACAAACAAAAAGAGCAATTTGACTATTACTATAGGTTGTCATTCTGTGAACTTTATGGAAGTGAATATTGGTATTGCCTGGAGAATTCTACGATAAAAAAATTGTTTTATGTTTTTGGGATGACCGTAATGCTTGGGTTGGTGCTGTTGTGGTAACACGGGATAAGTGATAGATACGGTATAAGTGATAGATACGGGATAAGTTTAATATGTGTTACTGAGCGGGAGGAGCAAGGAGTCAAGTCCTGACAGAGGCGGATTTTTGACACTATAGGTTCATATCTACCGAACGGCTGCTCTGATCGGGATCAATTCCAGATTAACGCTGGAGCAGCATCCCAGAAACGGGCCACGGACCACCATGGTGACCATGGTGACGTCTCTGTAGTGACATTTAAGCTCCCGATTGGATGAAACCGTCAACAGCCAACAACTGATACCTACCAGGGGCACGGTTAGAAAAATCGCAATATTGTACGACAAGTTAGATATCTCCTTTCGACTACGCATGCGCGAGGGGGATGACTCCTACCATCAACCGCCACTTCCCCTGAAAATCTCTCTCTCTCACTTGCTCTGTTTGGACTCGTTGCAGTGTTTGGACCCGACGTAAATGTGTCAGCAACCCAAATCAAAACAATTTCAGCAGTTTACGCACAAACGCCCACTCTTAATACAGCAAGGTTCAGTAAAAGAAATATATGTATAAGAAGTATCGCCCCTACTCCTCAGTGCTGTCCCTTTCGTCTTCCGAGAGCTGTGAAGTGTGGCGTGTCTTTAAGTCTTGTGTAGGCCTAAATACACGTGAAGTTTACAATCGTAATATTGGGTGTATTTGTTTTTAAGAAAACAGTTCGCAGCCAACATGGCCTAAAAATCAAGCTTCCTCCTTACCATCCCGATCTCAATTCAATCCAATTAGTTTAAAGCTACATTAAACAATTGTGTTGCTAAAGAAAGCATCGGCACCCATCTACGAATACAAGAAACTGGATGCCGAACATTATTTTGTGAATATTGCTCAGATCAATGGAAGAAGTGATTTGAGCACGTGAAGAAAATCGAAGGAGAATATATGAAAAACAGACAAGACCACGGGCGCAAAAGTCGACAAAATTATTTGTTTCTTTACGTGACATTTCTTCTGAGGGCGACAATGACGAAAGGGACAGCGACGACCGCAGTGACAGTGATCACTAATAGCTCCTCCTTGTTGTAGGCTAAGAAATCTGTCACTATAGCAGCGGTGGGGGACGCCCGCGGAGATAAGCTCCTCTCAAAAGGGAGATTTCTAACTTGTACCCCTAAAGAAATGCGGGAATGAGCTTTTATATAACAGCCGAGAGCTGGCGGTGAATATCACATGACTCTGAGGTTTGAAGTGATTGGCTGTTCGTCATCCCCGTCACACTCGTTAATTCGAAATTTACGAATCGGCTGTGAAAAATTCTGTGAAAATTTCTGTGAACTGTGGGAGGGAGGGTGGAAGGAAACTTACGCCAAGTATACTTCGATTTCTTTAACGTGGCGTCTGAAGGTCACGCACGAAAAAGGGAAAGGGAAGGCAGACTCCAATAGGGAGCTGCAACCTCACTACAGCTCCCACTTTTACGACTCCCTATTGGAGTCTGCCTTCCCTCTCTCTTTTTCGTGCGTGACCTTGAGACGCCGTGTTAAAAAAATCGAAGTATAGTTCATTCCATGATAGTGGCTTTTTCAACGGGCGGTCCCTTTTCTGGAGCTTTCGCTCCGGCCACGCTGTTGTGGCTTGAATAACGCCGGCCAGGGGGCTGTCATGTGCTCTATCGTCTGCTATCGTAGCGCACCGACCGCCGTCGACTGTTTATCACAAAGACAGTATTTCGTTGTTTCACCCCGACCAGAATTAGGCGGTAGTCTATAATGTAAATGAAAGTGACGAGTAATTATGGGAGTGAACCAATAGACCGATTCACGGCCAAGGCATGAGTTGTGAAATAAAACGAATTATGTCTGCCGACAGCCACATTTCCGTGTGCGGCCAGAATGAACTTCAATGAACTCCTACGAAAAAGAGACATTGCGGCTGCCTGGACAAAAAGGCTCAGCACGCAGCCCACTATCTTAAACCATTTTCTGAGTCGGGTCGGCCGCTGGCCAAAGGGCGGTGCTCTCACCCCTCCCCCTCCCCTCGCCCTAAGGGTCTCGGTCCCAAGCTTCGAGGGAAATTTCAATGTTGGAGGGAATCCTTCAGTATGTCTCTCGGATTCTTCGCAACCGAGATATATACATTAATTTATGTAAGGCGGACTAAGAGCATATACGACTTCAAGACCGTCCGGGTGTCGCCGCGTCGTTGGCAGAGAGGTCGACGTTTTGCCTGTCATATCGCAGGCTTCTTCAGGGAAGTGACCGCCTGCGATATCAACGAAGAAGCCTGCGATATGACAGGCGAAACGTCGACCTCTCTGCCAACGACGCGGTGTCACCCTAGAAGTCATGAACTCGACCCGAGGAAGCCTACGTGTACATAAGAGCATACACTATACTTCAATTTACTCATAGTGTCCTTTGACAGGCCATCAGCAGTTACGGTGCCATCCAATTGGAACCTTATCGTCACCATAGGGACGTTCAAGCTCCTGATTGAGTGACACCGTAACATCTGATTTACGACAAAAGACTCTGTGTTTAAATCGAAGTATATTTGAAAAGCGTGTAATTTCCTTTTCATTAATTTGTTCTTAATAAGTTCAGTAAATGCTTTTAAAATTTCTCCTCTTCCGATTTTCCTGTTGAAACTTTATTAAAATTAACTTCTCTCTTTCTCATGATTTAAGTAACTCCTACGCCTTCTTCATTCCCCAGTAACTCCGTAGCTTTAAGGTTAGGGCAAAACCAGGTAAAAAAGTGTTTTGTTTCTGGACCACTCTGAGTAACAGGCCAAGCTTATCAACGAATATGGATATCCTGACTCGGGTGATAGCGATACACTGTAAATAGTAATAAAATGTTTATTAAGAATGCTAATAAGACGGACGGACGATATTTTGTATCAAAAAATATTTTGAACTCGAAAACGATGTGTTCTCAAACCAAACAAGTAAAATGCAGAATTATAAATTGCTCGCAAAGTTAGTAACGTCTTTATAGTAAAGTTTAAGTTCTCGATTGAATCACAGTGTCACAGCTGATGAAGTGCCAACGGAGTTAACGTTTTAATTGACGTATATTACTGCGTTTAGTGCATTTATTATTTGGCCCTACGCTTCAACAGGAGCCTTCAGTTGCACAAAGTTGGGGGTCTTGTCGCCGAGCACTGCACGACGTTTGAAGGGAATACCAATATTCAGTCTTCGTCTGACACTAGCAGCAACTTGCTATTGTGAATTTTACGTGTTACTTATGTTTTATTACGGTATATATTAGTGATCTGAATTTTGAAAATTACATTCCCATCATTCGATGAGCTGCCACTAGTCCAGTCACCACTTGCCACAAGAAATGTTATTGGACATTTCCTTGTATTTTTTTTTGATGATCGGAAGTTTATGGTATCACATTTTCTAAGCAGGTGTTTATTTGTATTTGCTTTCGTGGGTGGCTTGTGGTTCAAGTGTACATTTGTTGTAATAAATGCGCCAAGAAAGTGCAGGTCAGGGCAATATTATTCCCTTTAAATGAATTTCTCTTAATAGTGTGGGTGGTTTATTAAATATTATGAGCGCCGGTACGAGAGTGAAGGCGCGAACCAGGACGAGAGAGAGAGAGGAACCTCGGGTAGTCGGATCATAAACCGACACCATAAACTTTCGATGTACCATTTTTCATAGGAATTGCATTTTTTAATAAAAATATAATACATGATTGCCAACAAAATTTTACTTCATAGATAGGGCCAATATTTTCTTTGCTTATTTTATTTTTTGTGCCTATTATCCAATTTCTAGGGAAAGAGGCATCAAGCATTCTTACCTACTCTCTCCTAGCAACGCCCTTGCCCATGTTTATCATACGTCCCTTGAAAACGAACACAAATGCAATGATCAGGCCTCACCAACATCACTAACCATCGGCGGGGCGGTCTTTCAGACACCCAGAGCATTTCTTGCTATCGTGCGGCTCCAACGCAGAAACTTGCGCTGTTTGGAAATCTTTATTTTTACCCGTTGAAAAAGGCCTCTCGGGCCGGCGGCGGCCACCGCGCGGGTCGGGAGAATCCACGGCCCCATAAATATTTAGATTCCGCGGCGGGCGCGGCATTCCGAGCGGTAGCGCGGCCTCCTGCATGTGAAGTTGTCTCTCCGATCGCGGCCGACGCGCTTCTTTTGTTCCTCCGCGGTCGCTTTGCTCTTGGCGGCATCTCGTGGCGGTCTTTTGTACCACGACGCGCCGGCTCGGCGCGGCGCCGCGCGCCGTTCGGTATGCGGGCGATTCGGTCCTTTTTAGCCGATAAAAATGTTGGCGGTTTTTTGCGCCCCGTCTCATCCTCCGCTCCCTCTGGAATGTCGAATGTTTCGCGGCGCCCGTTGCCAAATTGTTATTAATTGTGACGACCACCCGGCGCGAGACTGTGTAAATTATCTTCGGCTGACTGGCCCTGGTGGGGATACGTGTTCTGGTTTTTGTTCTGATACCGGTGATGTTTTACTTTCGGGGTTGTCTGAGTCGTCACTCTGTATGACATTGAGCAATCCAACTGTCCGTTCAATCCATCCGAGCAATCCATGAAAATATCGATGTAATTCATTCATAGTTTCGTCCAATGCAAGTTCAGTTTGAAAATGAAACTCGAATTTGTTGTTGAATCTCTTTAGTCCAATGGTTTAAAAGTCATACTCATTTCATTATAATGATCACATCAGATGTGTA